CTCGCCTAATCGTGCATCGTGCGTGTAAAAACAAGTAGTTTATAAGAACTCATTATTCTTGAGACAAATGGTCTTGATTGTATGGCTATGAATGAGAAAACATAAACTTTATCTTTTTTGGAAAAAAACTTCTTTCTTGACTATGTGAAAGTAGTAATAACTCAATGTTTCTTTAAGACTTTAACGACACTTTTTTTAAAATGCTTCTTTAAAAGCGGTAATTGCGGCAAAACATGGAATTTAATGAAGTTATCTTCAACAAAACTACTACTAGTATATTTTTAGTTAAAGCAAATCTATTTAATGATTTCTAATATCATAAGCATAATTTTATACAATATCAATTAAACTACCAGCATAATGCTTTTGAAAAAACGTTCTGTCTATTTTAAAAGGAATCACAAAAGCCCCAACTTCTGCTGGGTGCTAGCTGCAGTGAAAGTTCATTTGAGAAAGCTTGAAACGACTTCGCAAGTCAAATTAACTTTCATTCTATATTTTTACTTTGGGACAAATGTAAGAGTAAAGAGAATATAATATTTGGATCGAAGAAGTCTCGACAAGTCTATACATAACACTCTGTGAGAAAGAATCGATCTCTACAATTAAAAAGAGCGTTGTCTACTGTAACGTCCCCGTCGTCGTACTTCTTACTGGAAAAGATGGCACTTAAGGTCCACGGCATCTTGCTATCATCAGCTGTGTTGAAAGTTATTGCCTGTCTCGAAGAGAAGGAGCTCGATTACGAGTTTGTTTCTATTAATTTTTCAACTGGAGAACACAAAAAACAACCTTTCCTTCGCCTGAATGTACGTGAGTCAAACTATACTTTTTTTTGGAAATTGTCAAACTATACTTAATTATATAATAATTACATATGAAGTATAATATTTCTCAAACATTTATTTGTTTGTGTTTATCGGTATAAGTATATGCTAATACATGTCTTCCATCTTTGGTATATATTGTCGTAGCCATTTGGTCAAGTGCCAGCCTTTGAGGATGGAGATTTGATACTATTCGGTAATTAATGTTGCATTATTATTCTTATCATCATCATAGTTACTATTATTATAATTATTGTTGTTAGTTCTTATTATAATTACCAGTAACAATGTGTGTTTAAGAATTCCAGGTGTGAAATCTTTGAGAAAAATTATTTGAATTACATTTTTATTTTAAAACAATAGTAACATTATATTCTACCAATGACCAAAGGCTCATCATTTTCATCTAGCTATCCATATTCCATATAATTATCATCTATTGTTTTTATGATTTAGCTAGTTATTCTCTTCCTTTTCTATTGTCACTTTTTTCGGTTTTAGGAGGTCTTTCTGTTAAAAATCAAAAGAAATCTCACTTTCACATGCATATAAAGAAGAACAAGAATAAAGATATACTATCGTATACATTATAGAAGAATAACTACAACAAAGTACAACTTTGTAGCATATGTAAAATGTTGCAATAGATGCAAAAAATGTCACGATATATCAAGTGTAGCATTTTTTAGTATGCTGCATCTGACTGGTGTTATAATAGATGTATTTTAGCAATCCGTCAATTTATTGTAGCATTTCTGGGTACAATAATGTTATAATAGACATTACATTGTAGCAATTCCTACGGTGCTACGATAGACACTTTTTGTACTGGTGAATGAAAAGTTAAAAGAATTGACCCCACTTATTAGAGAAGTCTATTTAAAGTAGGAGAATATATCTTAGAAGGAAAATTATGATAATCATGAAAAATGAGTTCATCCCATACATTAACCTAATTGATTTGAGGCATTAAAATTTTTGATAGCCAAGATATCATGCCCTTGCCTCACCTAAACGTACCTATATATACGTACACACATATACATATATGTAGTTTGTTTTTGCATAAACATATACTCTTTCATGTTGTTCACAATTTGACTTTTGAGCTAAATTTTGTTAAATTCAAATGTTAGTTTTTCAATAAGCATTTTACTTTATATTATCAAAATAACTTGAATACTTTGTTTTGATATATATTATTGAAATGTTAGTTTATAATAGATTTTATAAGTATATATTTTTATATACTAACGGTCAAAGATAATGTTGGAGATCATGACAGTCCAACTGTGAACTTAATTGAGGACCGGAGGTACTATGTAAGTATGTATAGCTCGTTTGGTAACACTGAAATCAGTTGAACCACAACCGATTAAACTTAATTCGATTAATTATGGCTTAAGAGGCTGAATTGACTGACTCTATTGAATTATGAAAAAATTATATTAAAAATATATTCTTTTAATAATGTACATGAAGAATAAATTATACGAAGAAATAGCGTAGCTAAAATAGTTCTCTGCAATAAATTCAGTCAATTCGATCAGAAAGTAACTCAAAACTTACTTATTTGGATTAATACAAATTCAACGTGTGAAATCAAAAGTTATGCTAATAAGCTAAGGTTGATTAGCTGAAAACAGGGGTTACCAGTGGGGCCAATAATCGTGGATACATGTCTATGTAAATATAAAATTGCAAACTCCCACATAAAATATGGAATTACTCTTCATATAAGGATAACGCTTTCGAGACGAAACTTCAAATCTTAATATTAGTTGCATTGACTCGTTGTTTGAAGTAGATCTTTTGTACTAATGTGCTTTGAAATGGATTACACATGTAGTGATTGAGCCACATTATAAACTTAACACTCAAAGTATGTATTGAACGCTATTTGATATTGTAGAGTCGAGAGCAATCGCCCAATACATTTCACACACATATATTGATCATGGGAGCCAGGTTGTCCCCTCAGACCATAAACAAATGGCGATCATGTCAGTGTGGATAGAGGTTGAGGCTCACCAATTTGATGTGACAGCATGTGAGTTGAACTATGAGCTTATCATAAGGCCCATGCTCGGCATGGTGATTAATGATGATGCAGTAGCACCACACGAGGAGGCACTCACCAAGGTTCTTGACGTTTATGAGGAACGATTGAAGGTGTCAAAGTACTTGGCCGGAGACACTTTCACATTGGCTGATCTTTACCACACACCTCTTGTACATTTTCTCATGGGTACTAAAGTCAGTGTTCTTTTCAAAGCACGTCCTCATGTTGCTGCATGGGTTTCTAATCTCTTATCCAGGCGTGCTTGGTCAAAGGTTCGGGAGTTGATAGAGCGAGATATTGGTAAAACTTGTTGATTAATATAACTACTACATTTATAATTATATCCATAGCTCAAAACATCTTTTTTTTTGTGTTTTGAATGTTCCATCTCTATGATAATAACTTGTATTATGTTGTACTCTTGATCCCGTTTAGTTTTGTTTTATGTCAGAGCTCATATGGAGGCATTTAATTTATTACGGAGTATATGCAAATGCAATAATATTGTTGATATATTGTGTGTGTGTGTGTGTGTGTATTGGTGCATAATATAAATGGCACCTTAACCAATTATATTGGTGCATTTTTTGTATCCAACCATTAAATGAAGCAATTAAGTACCATAATTATATTGATATGTTTGAGTTCATAGTGCCATTTGAATTCTTTGACATAATTGTCTAAGCTCCACATACCTTTTCTCGGAAATTTATATGTAATTATAAACTAATGAACTAATATCATAGTTGGGAACACTGTTCTAAAAATCGCACTAGGTGTCCGACTAGTCCCCGCCTAGGCGCTAGGCGGTGGCCGGACGTCCCGATTTTAGTCTAGGCGCTCCGACTAATTGATTTGATACCTAGGTGAATTAGTGTGCCACCTAAGGCGCCTAAGCTAGTTGCCCGTCAAGAGCGCTTAATCGGCCGCCTAGGCGTCTAGATTCGTCGAACATTTTTTTTAAGTTCTTAGAAATATTTATACCCTACGTAGCACCCATACGGGTACGCGGAAACGCGGAAACGCGGAAAAGGGTACGGGGTTACGACAAAACAAAAAAAAAAGTAGGATACGGATACGTGGCCATATTTATAAATATTAAAAGTAATGGGGTGTGTTTATAAATATTAAAAGTTACATGAGTGTATTTATAAATATTAAAAATATTTTTTTTGAAAAAAATTGACATATATAATCCTCTGACGTCTACTCATTCATGGCATTGAAGCACTTTACATTTTCAAGATACTTAGAAATAAGTTCATATTTTATCTCATATGCATTAGTGCACCTTGAAATATAAATATAGTCAATAAGTCATTAATCTAAAATGAGAAATAAGTCAAACAACCATACTTTTGAAATTAAAAGTGCAAGTACTCAAAGTTCTAGAATAATGAAGATAGAAAACAATATTTTAAAAGTTCTAATACATATTTCTGTTGGACCTATTAATTTCCAGGGACAATTAGAATTAGGGATAGGAGAATGAGTGAATTAGGAATAAGTCAATTAGTTGTGTACCACATAAAAACAAGGTAAACAATATTTTTAGCTTTTCATTTTTTAAGAATTTATTATGTAAATTTGGAGTGTCTTTTTAAAAAGTTTTGTTTTGGAAGTTTTTTTTAAAAAAGTTGATACGGGTATCCGTCAGGATACGAGTATCCGAAACTTTAAAATAATTACCAAAAAAATGGGAACTTTTAAAAATTGTAGATACGGCCCGGAAATGTACGGTATGGGTATCTTAGAGTATCGGATACGGGAACGTTTCCGATACGCCGACACGGCACCCAAGTGAAGTATCTGTGCTTCATAGTTTATACCCTTAATTTTAACAACGCATATGAAGAAAGTTATTAGGTGCAGATTACGATAAAAACTTGAGTGTTATTATTATCTAATACTCCCTCCGTCCCACTAACAATGGGATAAGAGGGAGTGTCACACAAATTAATCAAAAATGGTGTATGTGGTTGTCTGGTTGATATTGAATTGATACCGTAAGAATAAAGGAAGAATGATTTAGAGCCACACAAACTTTACCAAATTTGGTATGAGACAATCTTAGTGGGACGGGGCGAAAAGGTAAAATGGGACAATCTTGGCGGGACGGATGTAGTAATATAACTTTTGTTTTTGTTTTGGAAAAGAAGATTTTATTCATAACAATAAAAGTACAATGCAAGAAGCAAAATAAAAGTAAAAAAGTACAGAGAAGAAGAATGCAGAGCAAAAAAGACACAAATTAGACCCGAAAATCTCTAGACTGCGATCTAGTCTTCATGCCATGTTGCCTTTTGTTTTGCTGAGATTTCCTATAAAGTTTGATTTGTATGTTCAGGTTGTCTGTTGGCAGACAGATTTCTAAGGTGACGAACTTTGATTTACGGTAAATCCTTCTGTTGAATTTGGAGTTCCCAATTTCTTCCCGGTTTGATATAGGAGGCCGACGATCGCTCTCGGTTGCATGTCCTAGAAAATCGTCTGAGAAGAAAGACTCATCAGAATGGTCAAAGCTGTCCGAGGTATCAGAATATGCCCGAATAAGTGGAATTTGTGGTTGTTTCTCAAAAGAGAGAAGCTCTTGCTTCTCGCCATATGCTCTCTGCACTTCATAATTAAAAATTAGCTTGGAAATGGTTATTTCTTCAGGGTCAGTTGCCGACACATGCTCCAAATGTGTGAGATCCTCCTGCACCAAAGTAGTCAATCCCACTATATTAGAAAAAACTGCCAAGAAAGCTTTTAGGTTGGAATACTCTGCGCCCATGTGGAACAGAATAGAGATCCCTTTTTCTTTAACAATTTTCAAGTATCGGCCTGCTTTGTTGAAACCTGAGGTGACCGTGATTTCACCAAATCTCCTGCTCTATCTAGAATTGAAATTTGAGATTTGGTTGATAAATCTGCAGATATGGGGCGCTAACTCTGAGCTGAAATTAATCCTGAATAGCAAGCATTTTTTAATTTGGAAAATGTCAATTTTTTCGTTGCTGACAGCAAATCTGAAGAGCGTAGATCCAATTTTGATATAATCAAAACCCTTTCTCCAAAGAATTTGAATTTGTCTGCATATTTGGATAAATCATCTCGATTTCCGTGAATTAATTCTGCCTGTAGTTTGATTGTGTCAAACCCTTCTTCTCCGAAAAATGGAAATGTTCAGATTCGTTGGTGATTTCAGATGCTGCTTGGAATTTCCCGGAGAGAGATCGAATTTCCTTGCTTTTCTTGCCTTGAGTGAGCTTATCTTTTGGACATGTGGCTGTAAGAGCAGCGGCCGTGTCATTAGTGTACGTCTGCCCATGTGTAGATTTGTCGCTCTTGGATTTAATCAAGTCAGCCCATGTGAAGGGAGGGAAGTCTGTGTTTGGCGTATTCACAATGACAAGGTTTGTACTGTGTACCTGTGCTTCCTTCTCTGTTGATCGAGGGTCAGAGCGTGACTTCCGAGCTAAGTGTTCTGGTGACGCTGAAGGCGTTGGTATCACCAGATTTTTGTACTGATTACCGGCGGTTTCAGCAGACATTCCAGCAACGCCTAAACTGATTTCCGCCTGATGTTTGTTATCTGTCCCATTCAGGCGCAATCGACCGTTCGAGTTCCGATCATTCAAGATTCTTCTACAGTTTCTATTGATTTCTTCTTCAAATTTCATATTTTCGTAAAATTGAATGGGAGGGGGGTTAGCGCTCTCAGTTTCAGGTGCGTAGGTCGAAATTGGATACTCGTTTTCAAGAACTAATAATTGAAATCTATTAGATTTACCCTGGATTTCTGAGTTGTTTCGTTGAGTATCAGTGTGTCGTTGACTGTAGCGCCGACCTTTTTGTTTGACTATACTCCATGTTTTATCCGGATCTCCAGTCTGGTAGTTGCGGGTTGCGTGCTGACAAACCCTATGTGTCGGCTGGCTATGTGGGTGTGCCTGAGGGCGGATAGAATCATGTGGGCGTGCCATACTCTTTCACCATGAGATATGTTTGTGAGTGGATTTGCGCATAGTTGGAACTTGGAAAGTAGAAGCTCCTGGATTTTTTTTCTAATTCCAGTAAATTGAGCTCTAGGATGTGGAATACTCTGTTCATAACACCATAGATTTGGTCGAGGTTTCAATTTCTGGGATTTGCAATACTCTGTCCAGTTCTCTGTTGTGCTTTAGGGTAGTACCTGTCACAGTTCATGGGGTTGAGACTGTAATCGATGCGCCTCAGGTCAGTGTCGTAGTGGTGAGAACGACATGGATTTGGAAGGTGATAATCCCTGTCGCATTTCCAAGGATTGGGAATGTGCTCTTTGTGTCTAAAGTCATTGCCGAAATGATGACGGGTGAATGAACGCCGTGTATGTGGAGGTTGATAATCTTCATACATGGCCAGAAAAAGTTAAAAGGTCACCGAAGTTTTAGTGAGAGGTGGGAGCTTCTCTCTCATTATTCTCACAACTCTGTTTTTTACTCTTGGAATTTCAATGTACAATTGGTAGTAATATAACTAATATTTACGGGATTACAACCACAAGAGATAAAAACAAGACGAATAGAGCTTGAAGGCTCTGCCATCGCTCCTCATCCGTAGTGCCGTTCTCACGCCCGAAGGTTGAGCGGCAGCGATGCCGCCGGCGGAAAGGCACGACTCGGCGCCGGCACCTAAAGCTCCATCCTTTGTAGCGGCGGTAAGGAACATACTTCCCGGCCATCTCTTGGATGCTCAACCGCACCTCTTCTCCAATGTAGACTTCCAGGGGCTCCCAGCGAAGTCGCACGGAAGATTCAAAGGTTTCCCGGCTGTTTCCTTCACTGGTGACGACGTTCTGGTTTTATCCTCTAAATATCGATTTGCTTTTGTTGGGACCTTCCCCCAGAAATGCCCTCCACTCGCTTCAATTATGAAACTATGGAGGCGATTGGGTTTTCCCAACCCTACTCAGTCGGGCTTCTTCACAAGAATCGTTTTCTGTTTAATTTTCATTCTGACTCGGATTTTCAGAAATTTTGGCTAAAAAACACCTAGGACTTCTTCAGATCTACGATGGAGGTCACTAGGTGGACGCCTTCATACTTTGTGGACTTTGACTCTCCTTTGTGTCCGGTTTGGATATCCCTGGTAGGGCTACCAGTTCATCTACATGATGTAAGAGCCATTTTCTCTATTGTTGGGCTACTGGGCAGACCACTACGAATTGATGCTCCTACTGCTAATTTTACTCGCCCCTCTACTGCTAGAGTTTTGATGAATCCAGTTTTTTTTTCAGACTGTGGTGTATGAACACTTGCCTATTTTTTGCTATGTGTGTTCTCGTTTTGGACATACAACCAGAAGATGTAACCAGGTCTCAAAACCAGTGATGCAAAATTTGGCAGAGGTTTCTAGGACTAAGGCAACGCTCATTGCAGACACAAATGTCTTATCTGAACCCCTGAGTGCCCCTTTGGTTTCTTCTGCCCCAACTGTTGCATTTAAACCAGCTGATTGTGTCACTCCCAGTGCTGCCCTGATTACAAAAGAGAAGCTGCCAACGTTACATGAGAATGCTTCCCCTGGAACCCCCACCCCCTTAACCGATATTGATCACGACAAATCTCCTGTTATGACTGACTGTCCCAATTCTTGTGTTGATAATCTTGTAAAGATTTCTTCCCTGGTAGCTTGTGTTGAGGAAACTGCATCTCTTGTTATGATTGCATCTGTTACAACCAAAGTCCCTCAACATGATGATATTGGTTTTTTGAAAAATGTTAGCTTAACAGATATTGCAGCCCCTGATGCGACAAAAACTGCCATGGCAGTTTGTAACTCAGATACTACACTGATCTTTAATGATATCACTACTTTTTCTTGATGATACCACTGCTTTACAAGGACCCTTTGCTCTAGATAATAATGAACCCCCGGTGGCTACCCTTAACGTGGCGGTAACCGAGGAATATGTTAATCATTTGGCACTCTGTGATTCTGCCAATGACTGTAGTGAGGCACAACCTGGAAATGATGAGCAACACTCTGATCCTTCGAGTGAGATAATAGTTACTACAACTGATACTACACCGGCCCATATACTATCCAGTGATGAAATTTTCTCTGAGGGCACCCAAGTTTTAACTTCTTTTGTTTCAGGTCATAGCGAAGAGGAACTCCTTGAAGGCTTTACATAAGTAAAAAACAAAAGAAACAATCAACAATATGCTAAGGATTTGGCTCCGATAGTTGCTGCCTGACCGGGCTGAACTTGCAAGTGTACAAGTGCCGATATAGTAATAAATTCCGGTAAAATGCCGGGTCGAATCCACAGGGAAACGTTGTTTAATTTAGTCCGAGAGTAGATGACTTTTAAATAAATAAATGAGTAAATTGCAGGGATTTTGATTTGTGTTTTATATTTTTGGCTGTTCACTTTTAATTCAAGGAAATAACTTTAATTAATTCGGGTTTAAGATGAATGATAATAACAGCTAAGGCTTCGGGAATCACTTAAATGCTTTAATAGAGTTGAATATTAGTTCTTTGCCAATAATTATGAATATGATGTCGCTAATATATTCTCAACTCCGGTTAAGGCAACGAGAGCGTGGTTTTCGTTACGTGTAAGTCCCGTTACGGCTTACATTCATCTACCGAAAACCCCGTTGAATATCAAGACATCACACCCGTATCATATAATACTAGATATATTTCTATTCTCGGTAGTATATATGTTTATCCTTTAGTATTCATAGTTTAGACTTCAACGTTAATTGCAAGTATAAACTAAATTTAACATACTTCTATGTTGTACACCATAGTCATAAACAATCAAAATATAAAGGATAAATCACAATTTATTGGTTTAGAACTTTTATCAAACACCTAATGGGCATAGAAGTTCATCCCTAGCCTTAGCTAAGAATTTAGCCTCTAATGCTCATATTAATCACAATACAATATGAAAATGTAATGGAACATGAAATTACAAAGGAAATAATACCTAAACACCAATGATTTCGGAGGTTGAAGTTTCCTCCTCAAGAACTTGAAGAAAATACCAAGAACAAAAATATAAAAGCTAGGAATTAATCTATGGAATGAAATGTGTTTGAATGATGAATTGAGGGCTTTATATAGGCTAAAGAATGGCATCTTTTAGTCTATTTGAGCCCAACAATAAGGTATGGAAGCAATATTTGATCACACTTGAGGAAGATGAAGTTTTCCCATAAAAAATCCTCTTGCATGTTAGACTGTTTTGTGCAGAATCGGACCTATCCGGTGCCGGTTTCAGGCCTACCCGGCACCGGTTCTTCGTTGAGTGCAGGAAAAACTGGAAATTTTGACATACCCGGCGCCGGTTATAAGGCCTACCCGGCGCCGGGTAAGCTACTGGTTTGTGCCATGCGAAAATTAACAAACCAGCGCGGGTTTGGTGCAAATTCCGGTGCCGGTTTAGTCCTGGGATTTTGGGGATGTTCCGTTACGAATTTAGACATGATTCCTTCACCAAATTTGTAGATAATGAAGTCTTCTATCCACCAAAACTTGAATGACGTGATTTTATTCATCCAATCAAAAGATATGGATAAAACACTGAGAGGTATGCATCCTGAAATCCCACCAGCAACATCTGACTTTATTGGTTGATGGGGTCTTGTTCCTTTCATATTTTGGCTATGACGTCTTCATAACATTTGTACCTTATTGAGTTAACATTCACATGAAATTCGAATCGAGTGATTTCGAGTTCTCTACAATAAGTTATACTCAATTTATGGGCGGAACGTCATCCTTTTGGTCCGAAAAGTCGTTCATCGCAATGATTATTGCTCTAGCTCGTATTCTGAAGTTATTTGCCCTCTTTCTCTCCTTTTCTTCAACAAATACTTATAAATACTTATGTTAAACATAAGTAAATATAACGGCTATCACTGCCGCTGATGAAAGCTTGGATATCCCAGGTCATCCTCAATCCCTTGAAGAGGAGGAATATCTAGAAGGCTTTACGGAGGTTACTAGAAGAAAAAACACACACAAGCGTCCAGCCAATGTCCTAGACGAAGACCAACAAGACACTCAACAATACTACCATGTGGGATGGACTTCACACCCAATGGTCAATAGAAGCCAATCAAGAAAACCTCAAAATGAATCAGATTACTTATACCCAGTGGACCCGAGGCTTGACTCACCACACAAATTGGATGCAGCTCTCAAGCGTTATAAATCTTCCCGCCCGGAGGCAAAAACTTACCAACCCTATATTCAGAAGGCAATCAAGTTTCACAACAGATATAACAGGAACAGATATAATAGGAATATCTCAGCTTGTCTTGGAATTCCAACTCAAAATTTCAACTGCTAATTTTGTTTAATTTTCTTGTATGTTTTATTTTATCTCTTTCATTTAACTTTTTATTAATAAATTCGGGATGTGTTCCCTGACACTCCCCCACCTAGTGTGGTTTGCTCCGGGATTTTAAAAAAAAATAACTAATATTTACTACATAATGAAGTTAATTGAGTAGGAATAATATATTATTAAATGTGACAACTCTATCATTCATGCATGTTAATGTGTATATATATTTTTTAAACACGCCAGAACACACCTTTACTAATCATATGTATGTAAAAATATTGTTAAAACTATAATTTTTACGTTTCCGACTCGTCCCCGCCTAGGCACCCGCCTAGCCGCCTAGGTGCTAGGCTCCGGGCTGCTAACGCCTGGCGCCTTTTAGAACATTGATTGGGAAGTTCAAATCTCAATTGGTCTGGTCAACTTATAAAGAAAGTAACATTTAGCTAATCTAGAAGCTACACAGTTCACCTAATATGAATGTTGTTGATACGAGTCTTTCTTATTTTGATCTAATGTGATATAAATTTTAATTATCTGATGTTATATGGATCTTTAATTTGATCTCATTCTTTTTTATAATATAAGTATGTATCATTAATGTCATTATTTTGTATATTTCAGTATCAATAAATATTATTTTTATTTTGATTATTACGGTCGTTGTTGGTATATACAATAATGTATGTTGTAATCGTATTCATATTCTTATTTTCATTATTCACATAGATAATAATAGGAAATCAATAGTTAATGAAGAATGGAGAAAAAGGAAAGAAGGCGGTGAGAGGCAAGGAAGGAAGCCCGCCGAAGGGTAACAAGTGAACATGGAAAGCAAGAAGAGAGCAACAAAGAAGAATTTTCTTCCCCAAGTGTACCTATACCTCCCATCATAGCATTTCCTTGATATAAGGAATCATTGATATAAAGAAAGAGATTAAAGCCTCCCTTCACATTAAAGGGGTGTATGGATCTTATTCTCAAAACTAATTCTGCTCCTTCAAGGAGCAGAAGCAAAAGCAGAAGCTGAAGTGTTTGGGTGAAATTCCAGAAGCACTTCTGGTGCTCCAATTTACTCCCAGAATCAGTTTTTTTAGAAGCTGGGTGGTACCATGTGACACCGCACCCGAACGTCCCTGAAAAAAATTCAATTTAAAATTCAAAGCTATGTATTGAATTTACGGTTTACCAAACAATTGTAAAACAATTTATGTTTTACGTAGTGCATGATTGAATGTTGTGTTGTTCAAACTCGTATATTAGTGTCGGGTTTTGCAAATACTTATTTGGGCCTTATTAATGAACATAAGAGCCCAACATTACCTAAATAATGTTACTTAACCTTTCAAGACAAGTTGAAGAAGGTCGGGCAACTCAGACATTATTTTGGGCCCAACCTGCTAAAACTAGCAAGTATTCGAGAATGGCGTCCTAGACCCACTCGGGGGAGACCCACACGGCTATTAGTCCAATAATATGAATGACAAATGTCAAAATAAGTGATAGAATGATTTGAGAAGAATACAAATGCATATGGTCCCATCTTTGACATTATTGAGCTAAATAATGAGAGTATGATTTTTCCTTCAATAATATCCATCATGTAAATTATTGAGATGAGCCTACACATATTGGAGATCAATAATGTGATGTAGGAAGTTGACTTGTTCTAAATAAATTAGGATGAGTACAAAAAGACATCTTTTAGCAAAAGATAGAACAATAGGACCCATTTTCCCATTTTTGGAAGTGTTAGTAGATATTTTGGACCCCAAATTGAATGGGATCAATTGGGAACCATTCCACACGAACTTGGTACCTGCAAAACAAAGAAAAATGGGTGAGATGACCCTATGGGGCGGACACATTGACTTAAGAGTCACAACATTACAAAAAGAAATAAAAGATGAGATCCACCACTTGTTTGATTGCAATCCAACATCCTACCATTTCTTTTTGTGAGCCACATGCTCTCTTAGCATGATTAAGGTCTCCTATACACTCCCCCTACACCCCATGCGAACCCCAAAGAGATAAGGGAGCAAAAGGATGTAAGGTGTTAGAGACTGTTTCTTAATTTATTTTTGGAAACACGTTTCTTAATTTATTTTGGGAAACGCATCCTAGTTGCCTTGGGGTTAGGATTTAGTTCTCTATAAATACAAGCTCTCTCCCTTGTAATCATTGTGTGTAGATCTAGAAAATATTAATAACAATCCTGGCTTGGTAGCGCCCCCAGACGTAGTCCTCTGTGGCGAACTGGGTTACCAAATTTTGCGTGTTCTTCGTTATTGTTCTTCGTGTTTGTGAGTTAAATTCCTAAGAACTGGTATCAAGAGCCCTAGGTTCGAAGGGAGAGTTCAACACGATGGCAGATTTGAAGACACCGTTGATGCAGTTTGATGGGACTGATTTCGGCTTCTGGAAGCTGCAGATCGAAGATTACCTGTACGGTAAAGATCTGTATCAACCTCTGGAGGATAAGCCGGAAGACATGAAGGAGAGCGATTGGAAGTTGCTGGACAGGAAAGCGATGAGCGTGGTGCGATTGTCGCTGTCTAGAAACATCGCCCTACATACCGTCAAAGCAAAAACGACGACGGAGATGTTGCAAATATTAACGGATATGTATGAGAAACCTTCTGTTGCGAACAAGGTACATCTCATGAGGCGTCTTTTTAACCTTAAGATGTCAGAAACCACGGGAGTTGTGGAGCATCTCAAAGAGTTCAATTTAATCACCACATAATTGAGCGCGGTTGAGATCAAGTTCGACGACGAAATTCATGCCCTAATTCTGCTGTCTTCTCTCCCGGAAAGCTGGAACGGAACGGTGACTGCAGTCAGCGCTTCGGTAGGGAAGGAGAAACTTAAATTCGATGAAGTCAGAAATCTGGTGGTCAGCGAAGAAATTCGCAGGAAGGAATCAGGTTTGGCTTCTGGATCGGCGTTGAGTACAGAGAACCAGGGCAGAACGAAGTCAAAGTCAAAGTCAAATCGGGATAGATCAAGATCCAAATCCAAGTCAAACAGCAAGGGCAAGAAGGACAGAAGTCAGATCAAGTGCTGGAATTGTGAGGAGTACGAACACTTCAAG